GCCCTCCTTCCTCATTATGTGTCCCAGGAACTTCAGCTACCCTCTTCCTGATCCACCCTTTCTGCAAATGATGAAGAACTGCTTCTACTATTCATATAAAACCTTTTAAAATCTTTTTTTCATGAACTCAAGACATGTTATTAAAGTAATAAGTGAATTTATATTAGCTTTTCAAAACCTTGTTCAGATTATGATGATAAATTTTGTGTGAGAGTATTACAATTGAATTAAGACTCTACTTTAACTGCTACTGCAATGTCACTTACTGCCACTTTTGTTTGGCCCGATGGCCAGGGTGTACAAATCTCCAGCAGTTGAGTGACAGCAGGAGTGCCCATTTTGGTGAGTCAAGATAATGTTATTATAAGTGATATATAGTGGAAGACAGGTTTGATGGTTCAGATAACCACATGTTACAGTTCCATTCAGATACAAATGTATTCACAGAAAAAAAGTCCAGTCCATGCTGATAATGTTTCATTACTAACCTTCTCTATAGATACAACAACTGACCTAAGTTAATTAACAGATGCATATTGTAATATGTAACCAGTACAAATGGCCACATGGATGGATGATTGACATTTAAACCAGCTTTCTAACTTGCTTTCCGGCTGGTGTGGTAAGTGGTATGTCATTTCACAGGATGAAAAAACATGACCTGTCAAAGGGCAGGGCAGATGAATTTCTTATAGGAGACTATATATATATAATATATATATAATCAGGGATATGCTGTCTAGGTAGGCAAGATAGGCATTGCTTATCCTGAATAAAATAGATCAGTAGCTACATTTTCCTTCTGGAGAACAATATGCAGTTATCCGACAAAAATATAAAGGTTACTCTGAATTTTATGCATAAAATGAAAAATATTTTTGTAGATTTACTGTCACAAGCTGTCTACCTTGAGTAATTACTGATGGCACATGTCTTATATATATATATATATATATATATATATATATATATATATATAAGGCAGGATGTGTGTGTGTGTGTGTGTGTGTAACGAATGTACAGTCGCAATTTTTGACGGATTTGCACCAGAATTTACATGCACATGCTCCAAGTTAGCGGGAAGGCCAAGACCAACTTTGCATTTTCCAACTACAATCGATAGTGGAAATAATCGATTTTTTCATGCTTCTCCGGCAGTTTTCATGTAGTTTGCGCCCATTTTCTACTGGCCAGAGTGAGAGCCTATAGCTGGCTGCCACGGATAGGCAAGAAGATTCTATTAGCCAGAGTGTGAGCCAACAGCTGACTGACACGAATGTTAACTAGTTAACTAAAAAAAATCAATAGCTGCATTTGTCACAAGTGGGAAAAATTTAAATCTGGCACTTTACTCCAATTGGCTCATTCGCTTGCTTAAACTTAACGTTGATTTTGCAGAACTGGGTTGGGTGTGAAAAAGTATTTGTTATTAACATTCTTTTTTCATTTGGTTTTTCCAGTTACGAGTCCTTTTTTAAAGCTGATCGTTTTGTGTTCATTTTGTTTAGTTCTTTTTTCATAACAGATTTAATGTTTAGTATAGAGCTTAGAAATTCGCAGTGTGAGATAGGCAAGAAGTAAGGCATGTAGCAACATCAGCCCGGCAAAGGGGACTCCTTTAAAGGCAAGGAAGGGCAAAAATATTTTAAGTCAAGTGATAGCAATTGCTGTATGAGTTGTACAATTTTTGAATCAAGCACGGGCAACGCTGCTATATATATATATATATATATATATATATATATATATATATATATACATACACACACACAAACAAGTTTGATTAAAAAGAACTGACAAGATCTGTTTAATGAATTTTTCAAATTTTTGGATAAGGTGTATAAAGTATATATAAAAGTCTAGGATAGCAACTCGTCTGAGGGATGGTGTCTTCATAACAACACTCAGCGTACTTTGACTACTGTGAGAAAAGGCACCCAGCTTTGTAACACCTTGCCTCAAATCATGATAAATCCTTTGTCAGACAAGATCCACCTTGCTTTGTATAAGATTAATCCCATTTCTGCCTCAACAAGAAACATGGTGATCTTTTTATCTATATATGTGGCGTTTTGAAAATTTTGTGGCTCAACCCATTTTCCAATATCTGACCAAATATCAATTTTTTTTTTTTTTTTTTTAATGACTCCTTGTTTAGGTAAAGAATTTTTCAGCAACCTGACATATATAAGAGAGTCATTTTGTGATAACTGCTGGTATTTTTCTAACACGTTTCATATTACAGTAATAAATAGATTCATGTTTTCTTTTGAAAACCTTTGTCACAATATAACCTTAAAATTATTAATGAATCAATGTAATTCTTAGTATTTTCCTGAGTGCTTTATAAATATTCTTTTTGATATTGTTTAAAAGGAATTTTTCTTAAAGCAAAGATTATTCAAAAAACATGACAAGAAGTTGAAATTCGAAATGATCTTGGTATGAATGTATCTTTGGCTTCATCTTAAAATTTATAGACTATAGCTTAAGGCATTTAATTGTTCAAGTACCAAGATACATTAATAAGATGAATTTGTTAAAAAGTAATTCAACTATATTTTTGTAATAAAACTTTTATGACTGATAACGAATTATAAAATAAAAATGCATTACTTGCTGGCATGGTGAATTTAAGATGTAACCATTAATCTATGTATTGAAAATATTTGACCAATATGTTGATAATGAAAAAAAAATTAACAATACCTTGAAATTTTGTGTGATCTTTGAGAGCAGTGAATATAATATGGCTGGATGACTAATATATTTCATATTGAAGTTGGATACAAAGTTTTTATTTCCTATTTGAATTTATAAGAAGTTATTATTATATACATTATTTATACTTGGACTGTTGTCCTCATCTTTGTTGTTGTTATCACAATGTTTTGGCAGTTGTGTTCTGCAACCTTCCTTAGGTGTATATGGGGAATTCTGAACTAAACCCTTTATTTAATCTACAGGAGTAGACTGTTCTTGTTCCATTGCTTTTATTTTGTATTATTCAGTTATTTCTTGCCTGTTTTCATATATGCTAGTCTATGAGGACCTCCTTAGTAGGCCTTGCACAGAAATAAATACAATGTTGGAGCCACTAATAAAAAAAAAAAAAACAACAAAAAAAAGACAAATGACAGCATGTCTTCAGCTACAGCAGCAATCAAAACATGGGCAGCAGCAGTAATCAAAACATGACAGCAGTAGGAGCAGCAGTTGCAACATATTAAGCAGGCAGGTTGAGGGTCAAAGCTGCTCCAAGTCCATGACAGCAAATTCTTCTATGGGACAATGACTTAGTGGATAAAAGTGTTTGTGAATTTGGTGACATAGTTATGAGTTCAATCCCTCAGCTGAAATGTGCAAGCAATAACTGGACAGTACTAACTAAAAATAAAATCTAGGTAGTCTACCCCTGTAGATTAAAGAAAGGGTTCAGTTCAGAATTCTCTATAGGCTACCTAGATCAATATACACCTGAGGAAGGCCAGAGGTCACAACAGCTGAAATTGTACAAGCTTTGTATAATTTGTGCACTTACCTTAGCAAAACTCAGTGGAAGGGGAGAAATGAGGAAATTCAACTGTAATCTTGTGATGAAAATATCTTTCATTATATTTATTTTGTCTTCACAGAAAATTTATTGAACTGAGTTCCAGTCAACCCCATCTGATTGAAGAGGAGTAAAATTTGCATATGTGTTCGAAGAGAAATAAAAAAAATGCAAAAATAGTTAACCAAAAGCATCAGTTATATTTTTTTCTTTATTGGTTAGGACTATGCTCCCTCTTTCAAAGCTGACTGGACATGTTACTGAAAATGTTAATAAGAATCCTAAATCTTTTTTTTTTTTTTTTTACTTACTATCGGTACTTCTAGAAGGAGAATTACTTGTAGGCAACATAGTGTTTTTTTTTTTCACACAAACGATTGCCACTGCAAGATTATGCCAGTAACAAGTAAGAATTCATTATCATTTATTTCTTTCTTCACTGAGTTTTGCTTTAAATGCTAATAGTTGCCATTATAGTTTTTCTACATTCCCTTTCTCCAAACAGTCGGACTTGAAATCTTGACAAAATGCTGTGATAGCAACAACAAAGATGAAGACAATAGTCTGAATATAAATAGTATAAATCAGTTTTTATTCCCAAGTCAAACAACAGCAGAAAAGAGAAAATATAGTAATGATCTAAGATTGAGCAAAGGCTGCATTTTCATCAGACTTTCTCTGACTGTAATACAACACCCAGGTTTAGAGATAATGATTCTTTGATCCTGAAACCATAGCTGACCCCCAGGATCCCCATTTTGGAGACACTGTTGTTGTTATATGAATTTACTAGCAGTAGAGCCCGGTGTTGCCTGGGGATGTAACAGTAAGAGATAGATCAAGTATCGACCATCATAAAGACTGAAAAATAAAATTGACAAAGATTATTGTTTAAGGTTGACGGACACGCATGTCTTAATTAGTTTTTTTTGTTTTGTTTTGTTTTTTTTTTTTGTTTTTTTTTTTACGAATTGGTCAAAGCCAAACTCAAACAAAAACACTGTTTTCAATCATTATGAGTCTACCGATTGAATAGAATTTTATTATAAACAATTGTCTTGTAAATGGAATTTTCAAAGCCTTCTGAATGTAAAAATAAAGAAAAAAGTGTATAAGACAATAAGAAACACTACCTGCTAAAAAAAAAGTGAAGTTTTGTTGAAATTGGTTGAAAAATGTAGGAAATCCGATCCCATATATAAACGAACACACACACAGAAAAACAATCTGGGTTTTATAATAAGTATAACTCGATATGAGTTGTCTCCCTTTCATTCTCGCGATTAATCGTGTTTTCAAATTGATTTTGTGCAAAAACGTACACACACACACACACACACACAATCTGCGTTTTATAATAAGTAAGATTATACAATTCGCTTTCTCTTATTTCAAGTTTTTTGTTTTTAATTAAAATTAAAAAAAATGAATTGCTTTTTATTTTCAGCAATTGTCTCACAAACCATGGTGGAAAGCCAATTTTTTCATCTCGGAGCCAATTCTGTTTGGGACATGGGATGGTGTCTTCACATCTTGTCTTATCAATTTACTTGGTGTTATCATCTTTCTTCGAATGGGATGGATTGTGGTAAGCAATAATTTCCTCTACTCTTTAATATATATTCTTTTTGTTGTTTTCATTCTCTTCCTCAATAATATCAACAGCATTGATAATAATGATATTATTATTATTAATAATAACAACACTCCAAGATGTGACACCTGAGAAAGATTTCAACTATGCCAGCTGTTATTAATTGAACAGCAATTGGGAGCAGAGAATTTGCAAAATGGTAAAGTCAATATTTGACAGATACAGTGAATAACACTATTAAAAATAGCCAATATAGTAAATCACTTGTTCACTCTACTTCTTAGATTATCGAACAAGAAAATAAAAATTCTCTGACCCAAGATAGTTTTTAAAATATAGAAAAACAATTTTAAAAAATAATTAAAATATAATTCTAAAAGGACATTTTTTTTAAATGATAGAGAAATATAATAATTATTTCACATATCTATAGCTTAATCCTAAAATAAGAATTTGTCAAATGTTTGTTTTCGAAAAGTAAGCTTTATGAAATCACAATCATTGTTATGACACTAAGTTTTCACTTTGGTAAAAGATTTTTATAGATGAAAAACATTTCATAATCAGTATTTAATAATAAAAAAAAAAAAAAAAACACACACACATATATATATATATATATATATATATATATATATATATATATATAGGCTGCATATCTTCATTTAAGCATGTTTCATTACATAATATAGACATATTATGTCTATTTATTTTTACAATAATCCTTTCTAGTTCTCTAATTATGTCTTAGATGTTAAGTTAGAATACATCAAGGACGGTGCCATAGTTCTTGTTAACCCAAGTACTTTTGATCTCCTCTGGGATCATCCTCAGATGCGAATTGTGAAGACAAAATTAATGTCACTTTAATTGTAGTGATGGTAATTTTTGTAAATATGTAAATAATGCAAAGGAGGTAACCAGAGATGTTAAAATGCAACATGGTGTTAAATGTTAGTCGACTCAAATACATTTTAAAACATTGCTACTACACTCGTAATAAATCATGTTTGCATGCTGGGATCACCTCTGCAGGCTGATAGCATCAAGATGTTACCTTCAAGGCAAATCAATCATAGTGAGATTCAAACCCAGGTCTCATGGTTGGATAGAAAACATTCTAACTGCTTGCCCACAGCTTTGGAAAGTGCCTGAAAATCAAGGCTTGACCTAGGCTTAGTGAGTTAAATTGGGTAGATGGAACTATTTGAGAGCCATTGATGGTTGAGCTAGCATGATATTGCAAGTTATCACGACCAAGGATTTGAGCATATAGGCCTTGTTCAGACTGTTGATCACACCAGGTGCTCTCTCCCAGAAAGTGTAACTAAGGTCTTCTCATTATAGTTGCAGTATAAACCACAGGTACACACTCTGGATGTTGAACAAGTAAAAATGTGCCTGAACAGGCATCTGCAATAGGGATTGGCTAGCCACTCTAGCAGGCAGGCATACTCAGATAAGAGCGGCTAGCCATTACTTACATAAAGTAGGTACATGTGGCAATGAAGGAGGAAACTAAATCTTACCTTGAAAATGAATGAAAAATGAAGATCAGGATCAGGTCGACTTTACTAGGTCTTGAAATATGGTAATTGTTTGTGCTTCCCTACCAGTTTCAACCAATCACAACCTTTCTTAACCCAATAAAAGAATGCTACTTTGTATGATAGGTGGATTTCTTGGTTATGGGTAAAGAACGTAGTTGTACATTGAGTTGTGATGTGAATTTTTCACCATTTTGATTTATGGCCCCAGGGTATTTTCTCATATTGGGCTTGTGAGACTGGTTTTTGACCCTTGGAATTATGACCTTGGACTTTTTGGATCTGAACCTCCCTATTACTATTTACCTCAGTAGATCGCTAGTTCAACAAACAAAAAAAAAAGTGTTTATTTTATATGACAAATATTTTTCAACATAATTTCCTTCCTTCTCAATGCACTTAATTCAGTAGTGAATATTAATCACATTAAGTAATATCTGGTAAATAATTCAAATAAAAATTCAGCAAATAACTGTATTTGGATATAAACGTATTTGCCCATGCTCAATTTATATATACAGGGTAAGCCAAAAAGTACATCTGAGATATTGAAAAGTATAAAATTTCTTGCTCTTTAATGACTAGAGTAACAGTCTGTCTACCCAGAGTGTTGTGATAAAAGCTAACAATAAGTTTGAGTAAACACAGCAATAAAAATAATAAATATAATTTATAGTTGTAAATGACGATTCATATATTTGAGTTATAAATAAGATGCATGATATGGAATTTTCAAGAATTTTATGCCAAATACAGTTGCCCTAAGTGAGCATGGAAAAGTAGATTGGTGAAACTTTCATGAAAAGAATATCAAATCAAAGATTTCCAGACCAGAGAGGACCACATCCAGACCCAGCCATTCTAAACCAAGTTATTTGGAGAGAATGATCTTATGTTAGTGCACAGTGTGCTGTAGGTATATATCAGAAAGGTGATGGTAAGATTAGTTGTTTCCTTATAAGGAAACATTTGGAATTCATTGACTGAAAAAGTTGCCATTACTTTCAGTTGAAATTTATAAAATCTTTCTCTTAAAGCAGTTTTTCAGGAAAATAGGTTTCTCAAGTTCACTGTTATTGCTCTTTTCATTATTGATGGAAGTTTCCTTCCTAACTTTTTGCTTAAATCTTGAAGGGATGTTGAATGCTAAATAAGGTTAAACAGTTAATGTCCTGATGAATAATATTTGCTTTTAACTATAAAATAGGATTTCCGGTTTTTTTTTGGTTTTTTTTTGTACTCACAAAAAAAACACAGTGTCAAAAGGGTGGTTTTTCCTTTGATACTGCTATTATTTTAACTACCTTCACTCCTTTTACTGTTTTAAAAAGTAATGATTACAATTGTAAAAATATGATGAAATGAATTTATACATTTCTTGTTCCTCAGAATTGGCAACAAAAATATTAAATGCTATTTATTAGATTATTTATTTACAAGAATAATTTTATATTTATAACATTTTAAAAAGTAATACATTTGTGTTAAAATTAATGCAGTGCAATTATCATTTACCAATTCATAAAGAAATACATATGAAAACAATTTTTATTTCATAAAAATTTATTAATTTATTAAAATATATGAACCAACTATAAGAAAATCCTTATTTACCATTTTATAAAGTTCAAATTGATTAGCTGATGTTTTATCAACCATTTCAATAAATAATCTAATAAATTGTGTTTATTATTTTTGTTGTCAATTCCCAAGAACAAAGAAAATGTAAAAATTCACATTCAGATATTTAGGTTTTATTTCCAATTCTCATAACTTTTTAAAACAAATATTTCTGAAAGGTGACAGTAATTAAAATAATTGCAGTGTCAAGTAAAAAAAAAAAAAATCTTTTATTGACTTTTTTTTTTTTTTTTTTTTTTTCAGGCATGATGGTCCAAGTTTGCCAATTTAAAATTTTTTTTTTTATTAACTCTTTTTTTGATTCTTTCTTTGAAGAAAAAGTTGGTTTTCCTGCAATATCATCATACTCTTCTGTCAAGTTATTTCTAGAGATGTTCTTGACATCTTTACCTTCCTAACCAAATTATTTGGATGAAAATGTTTTCTGGTGTCATTATATTCATTGTTTAAAAAAAAAATGAATTTCCTTTGATCTTTAATTTGAAAATTATTTACAATTGGGCATGATGAGCTAAACACAATATAACCCATTTGCTTTTATTTTTCCCTTTGCCTTGTCCATTTTAGGGCAACACTGGAATTTGGCTGGCCATTCTGATCATCCTTTTTTCTTGTGGTGTAGTACTCATCGTCTCCCTCAGTGCTATTGGCGTGTGTGAACGATGCAATATGGATGGTGGCGGTGTGTACTTTCTTATCTCTCATGTGCTTGGTGGACGTATTGGTGGAAGCATAGGAGTCATTTACTGCTTGTCACAGGTAATGTCACAGTCTGTTTTAAAATACACTAGCCATTGACTGGATGTACATGGCTGCAATTGTATAACTGCACCCCCTGTAAACTAACACCCCATGTCTAGAAATGTCTGTCTGCATCCCCACTTACATGTATCATACATTGATATACTAATCTACTCCACCTCACTTCATTTTTTTTTTTTACAGTATGTCCTTTGCATGTGTTTGATTGTTCTTAATAAAGGAATTCCATTGATAAAACCTTCTTGTGTGGTTATTGCTTGGGGTTAACTTGTTTCAATGTTTTAGATATTCAGTAAATTTCCTATGGTCATAACAACTTTCAAATAGTATAGTATTGTTTACAAATTTAATAATCAAACAAAGATGAAGTATCAGAGCTTGGTTCAACTGCAAGTGCAAATGCATGAACCCACCCCCATTCTTCTTTGCATGTTTACTGTAAATTTGGGGTTAATAAGAGGTCCTTTGGGAATTTTCCCTTTTAATGCTTCAATAATCCTTCACAAACAATCTTTGCATCAAATGTTGTTCAAATGCTAGTTTAGGATGGAATCATTTGAAGAAACTGTTGGTTAAATGGCAAAAGCTGATTTGAACCTAGTTTGTTGCAGATTTCGTCCACTTAACTGAAATAATTTAATCCAAACATTCACACAAGACAATTTAGGTGTCATGTAATTTACATGGCAAATTTGGAAAGCATCAGATGAAAAACCAGGGAGTTAAGTAGTACGAAAAAAACAATTTTTTGGCAGTTTTTTTTTTTTGCAATTTTTTGTGTGAATCCAATGTAACAGGAAAACTATCAATCACTCTACATAATGCAAAACATAGCTCATGTTATGAGGTTTAAGTACAAAGAATATCATCCCATCCAGTAAAAATTTTGTTCACGTGTAACTTTGCCTTGGTTTTTACAAAAAGTTGTACTCACCTTTGGTTTTATCAATTTTTGTGCCAAAATCAGGGTGGGGGTTGGATATTGAAAAGTTGGTCTTAACCTATGTTAGTAATTTTGCAACATGTGTGTACAATTTTATCAAAATTGGTTGAGAAATATGGACATGCATAAATAGCACGCATACACATCTTCTGTTTTATACTTATTGATATAAGCATGCTCCTAACTTCTGATGCTGGCAAAAAGGTCTTTACTAAGCTTAATGTTGTTGTGTACAAAGCCACAATAAACAGGATCAAACTCATTACAGTCAAAAGTGGTCTAATGAGACTAGCTTACTAATCATAACTATACAAGATATCCCTGGTGCTAGCAATAAAGAATGGATAATAAAAGAAATTAATTATTTGATATAATTAGGATAATTATAATTGCTTCAAGTTTCGGTAATTAACTATGAATGAATTGTTTATGATATTGTTGGATTGTTATTTTATAATGGCTCCCTACCTCAAGGAGCTCGCTAACAAGAATAAATACCAAGGTACTGAAAAAGTAAATGAAAAGAAGGGTGCTAAAATATGTTTACATTTTTTATTAAATGCAACAATGTAGAAAAAAATATAACATGGGAGAAATATGGTACTTACAGTCATTGCACTCTACAAGATTACTGCCTTTTGAGTTAAGGTGAAGTTAGGTGGTCAAGTATCATCTGTGAATACTTTTGTTCCCTATGGTGTGAGTATGGACATTGGTATCAGCACGTGTTGCTCTAACCTCTTCTCTGGACAGGACTGGTATCTTAATGTAGCAAGGGCCTTAATCCATCTCGGTTGTTCCTACAGTGCCAAGGGCATTAAGTCACTTCCTTTACTATCTACTCGCTAGGTGGAGTGTTCTATCTAAAATCTTACATGAGAAACAATTTATAAAGAACTGACCATGATTAATAATAGTAAGACTCTTATTCAACCAAACTGACATGGAATAGAAAAAGAATTTTTCAGTACAGTATGGGCCGAGAATTCAGAAGTCTTTGCTTAGTAAAGTTATGTTTTGTAAGCCTTTATATAACACTTATAATTTTCATGTCTAGTAAAGAGAAATCACTTTTGATCAATAAGTGGGATGTAATTCTTAATATATTACTAGCAAATTTCTGTCTTATGAACATTTCTCTTAATAATTTTGTAAAAAATTCAGCAGATGGTGTTATTTTATTTATGATAACTGAATTTTTAACATTTGCCTCACTCTGCCTTCATTGTTTGATACTGTGTTCTGAAAAATGGTGCTTTTATCATGGTTGCTATAACCTCTTGGCTTTTGGTCTATGATCAAAGTGTAATATCTGTTCTTATCAGCTTAGGTGCTCATTTACTTGATAAGCTGACAGTAGAAATTTTGGGGTCTTTTCACCATTTCTTTATTCACCAAAAAGATAAAGAATTTTTTTTCCTGTTCAAGAGACATTTCTTTCTTTCTTTCCCCTTCACCAAAACATTGCATTTTTTTTTAATACAATTATATACAGACACTTGTATATTTGGCCAAACCACACCACAGGTTGACTCAAGCTTTGTGAGTGAAAGTAGGAAAGTATGGAATTGTTTGGAAGCCTTTGATGGTTGTGCAAGCACAGACACAAGCAAGTCATCATGTTTGAGTGTACTTGGGCTTGTTCAAACTGTTGATCACACCAGAAATTGTAACTCAGGTTTACTCAGCATAGGTAGGCTCTGTGGGTACTGAACAAATACAAATGTGCCTGAGCAGGCATCTGCTGCAGGGATTGTCTAAACACCATAGTAGATGGGTGTGCTCAGAAATGAACATCCAGCCATTATATATATAATCAACCTACCTGACATGTGCATCAACTCCAGGCCCTACTGACTCTCCCCTTCCCAAAGTTGCTTCACTTGCTCACAAAGAGACATTCTGCTCATATCCTCTGTATCAAGAATACAAAGAATTTTATTTTAACAATTTTTGTCTTCTTTCCTTCGCACTCCCACCAGCAGTTTACTGTCATTTCCATTTGTTCTCCCATCCACCCAGAATTGTAACATGTATGAAGGTGTGTAGTTTTACAAAACCATCCATTTTACAATCTAAAAAAGAAAACTGAAAGTAAGACTCTGTGTTGACATTTCTTTGAATGAACCCTGTAGAAGTCCAGTGACTTACCTGCTAAATATTCTACAAACCCAACACAAACTTGAATAAATTTTTGTACCAGTTCTTATTGCATTTAATCTAAATCTTCTTTTTTCTTAATTCTCTAGGCTGCTGGTTGTTCCTTATCTGTGATGGGTTTTGGTGAATCTATCTTGGGCTTATTGGGTAGTTCAAATGCCTGGATTGCTCGAGGCATAGCCACTGCTGTCGTGCTGTTACTTTTAGGTAAGTGCTACCTCTGGGGGTATTCCTACATTTTAGCTTTTCCCAGTCAATCCTCCTAAACCTAAATTCAGAATTTGAAGATATCCAATTTCTATATAAGCATTTACTTGTTTCACCTACAAAAATCCCTACAGGCTCTTTCTCATTCTTTCAGTTTTATCAGCCTGGACAAGACAGTGGTCATGTTCCAACCTGCTTTGGGCTCACATTACATCAAACCATCAATACTTATGGATGATCACAAACTAAAGGTGGTAGACAAATTCACATGCCTTAAGTGCACAATAAACAGATGTTGCACTCTTGATGATGTGAAGAAGGCAACTGATATTTTTACGACTCTAAAAAAAAAGAAAAAAAAGATGGAGCTTGGAGAGATTTCACCAACACTGTTTAAGATCAATTCTTGGTATCCACTTTGATATATCATGTGTCAGATACTGTGGTCCTTGAAAAGGCTAATGTAATTAGTGCATGTTCATTACTGCAGGCATTCAACTTGATTATAGCAGAATATCCAAGCAAATACTTTAAGACATTTGATCCCAGCATAAACCAAGGAAGCGCTTGTAAGACTGTTTAAAGAAACCTCTTGCAACCTGCAGTTTATATGATCCTAAATGAATAAAGACAAAATGAAATCTTATTCATATTGTCCTTTTACAGATATACTCTAACTGAATTTTTTTACACAAGATCCTGAATGCAAAATTGCTGTTTATGATTGAAATAAATGGAGGCATACAGTTCATGAAGGTACTCCCAAGAACATACAATGAATTGGGCAAATGTAAAGTGTGCAGCTAGGAAAGTGGAAAACATTAATCCAGCAATTTACATGTGATGAATGTAGCCTCTCCAATGCAGTCATGTTGGTAGACCTTTTACAAATTGTGATCAGTACCCTGCTGGCAATAAAATGCAGGGTGTATTAGAAAACCTGTAGAAACCGCTCTGATCACAGGAAACATGCGAGCAAGCTGAACAGGGTTTACAGAACTTAAAAAAGCCAGGCCTTATACAGAACAAATTAGTTTGCTACATTTGCTGGATCCAAGAGCAATTATTGTTCTCACAAGAACAAAAAATGTTGATCAAACTTATCAACAATGATCATACTCATTTAACAAGCCACACACATGCACACACACACACACGTGTATATATATATATATATATATATATATATATATATATATATATATATCACTTTAAATGTTATTTTTAGTGGATACTCATATTTGAGTATCTGCACCATTTATTTATTAAACAGTATGTTTATTTATTTTCAATAAATGTCTATATCTCTGAG